TTTGAATATATTGAAATCTATCTCTCTGTATATATATATATATNTATATATATATATTGAAACAGAAAAGGTGAAATATAAAGGAATTAATGAAGGAGATGTAACAAAACCAGAGAAACAGCTGTGTCCGAGAGAGACACACCAGGACAGAATTGCACAAACTATAGAAAAGTGGTGAAGAACTCATGCGGTTAACAAGGGGAAAAGGTGTATTAGTTTGAAAGCAAACACATTTTTGTCCTGTAAACAGAGGAATAAGTAAGCAAAAAATGAAATTAGACAACTTTAGCAAAATTATGCTCTGCCTTGATGTTGTTTCTCTCGTTACTAATATTCTTATTTCCAGTGCTATTAATTGTTTAAACTAAAAGAATTTAATTTTTTCTTTATCGAATTTTAAAATATTATCTCCCTTGTCAATTCATTTGTTCAAAAACTGCTTTCTAATTCAATGGTGAATTCTATGAATTAAGTGGGGGTTAAGCCATGGGTAATCCTCTCGCTCTTATTCTGTGTGACATTAACCCGATATTTCGAAGTCTTTAAATTTTTCAAATTCTTAAGGTGAAGGCCTGGAAAGTCTGGTTAGTAGGACACTGGGCCCATGTCCAAGAGTTCGTGGGTTCCAACCCAGCCGGCTGAAGATTCCTCGTGTAGTAAATGGTGACTGATGTGCGTAAATTCTGTTGAGTCGCAAAGTCCTTCAAGTTCCCATAGCAAATCAATAACTTTGGGGGTACTGATCCAGGAGTTCCCCTGTCTTTTGGATTGGTTCAAAATAACAAAACTACGCAGTTGAGTAGTCGTAAACGACGTACAACGACGGTTATAAAATAAAAAATTAAATTAAATTTCTTACGATGAAGAAGATATGTTGACGACTAGTTTTATTTTATTTTGCAACAGTCGTTGAACAGCTGACCCAATTTCGGGTTTACGACTACTAATGTTCAACTCCGTAGCCTTGTAATTTTGAACCAATCCAGAAGACAAAGAAACTCCTGGATCAGTACCCCCAGAGATATGATTTGTCATGGGAACATCAAGGACTTTGAGACTCGACAGATTTAACGTGCGTCAGTCACCATTTACTACACGGGGAGTCTTCAGCGGGCGGGGGACCAGTGCCCTACTGACCAGGCTATCCCGGCCTTGATGACTAGTTTGCCTTAATAGATTGTGAAAGTGTTAATTTCTGTTGTCATCTTGGCTGACGCCAATATTCATATAACTCTAAAAGCGGAAGTAAATTTTATTCTACTTTTCTTAGATATTCTTGTAACTAAACAATCTGAATCAATTTTCCTCCTTTGCTTATTGCAAACATTCTGTCGTTATTTTACCCCCTGATATTAACTTTAATTAACCTTGTTACCTTTTACCGACCATAGATGGCGCCACTGATGGGGCCACTGGAAAACACAAAATGTTATACCATAGATGGCGCCACTGGAGAACAAGAACAATCGCACCCCCTCTGCCTAAACAGGCAAGCGACAACAACAAAAACACAACCTTTTATTTTTCACGCACTTAATGTTTGCTTTGACTCTTATTCTTTAATTTCCGAACTATACATCGCCCTCTCACTTTACTGCTAACCATGAATTTAACTCCTATAGTTAATCAGCTATAGCTCATTCACTAGATCAACTCATACCTTTCTCTTCTACAAACCCTTACAGTGTATTTGTATTTTTATTTTTGTTGCCTATTTTCTTGTCATTTGCTGCAGCCATACTAAAATCTTATCCCGCTTAGGTATTCAAGTCTTTTTCAGGCCTGCAAATTTCATTTACTTAAAGATCTATCAGGAGAAAATTTTATTTGGCATTTATCACATGCTTTTTCATTGCGACCTTGGCAACCTTGGACAAACCAGAATCGCCTGAAATTTAACCTTTTAGAACACGATAAATATGCCAGCCTTCAAGAATGCGATAAATATTCTATTGCGGCATATTTTGGAAGCATCAATATTACTTGAGTTTTGTTAATACTAAGATTCTTTCCCTCCCTGCTACATCAGCTCATCGTGACGTGCAGTAATCTTGTTTCATTCATATAAATGCCGGTGCCCTTGTAAACGATATGAGTTTTCCCTACCTCTCTATAGAGTGTGGAAATGCATAGTGATCTGATTTGCCTCTCTCGACTACTGTGGTTTTTCATTTTTTTTCACCGCTATAATTTTTTCTTTTATCTTTAATTTTTAGCTACCACAGTGCTTTAATTATGTTTTTAACCTTTATTTTCCATTTTTCGTTGGCAATTTCAGATTTTCTGTTTCTCATACATTCTGTTTTCTTCCTTCACCTTTAAAATAAGTGCCTTTTTTTAAGTACTCGAAACATTTCAACATATATTATCGGCTTCATATTTGTTGGAGCAAATAAAATGTTCATATCATCACGTACGCAGTGTGATGCTTTTTCTTTTTTTTTCTACCAAATTGCCATTTATGAGTTTCAAATTTAATTTTCTTTTCATCATAAATTTGAATAACTCTACATGGAAAGGTACTGAAAATCTAAAATTTATGGTTAAAATACCTAATGTCGAAAAAGTCGTAGAGTCAGTAAGCAAATACACTATAAGCAAAATATTTTCTGAAATTTATTTCTAGACCACATTAAAACATCAGTTTAAATTCAGAATTTAAAATTTAACCATTTGAAATCATTTAAAAAGAACTATCTACATAAATATTAACAGAGGAAATTGCAAATAATTAGCAAGAGTTTCAAACATATATTGCAGTTATAAGTTGAATCATAAATACTAACCATTTTATGGCAATATCCGTCCGAAACAATATGCAATAAGCCTATTGATAAATGAATAGTCGTTAAGCTTCTATCTCACCGAAATTCTGGACTCGCAAACTATCTATATTAACCAATCATCCATTCAAAGACATTCTGATGAGATGATGATCTCTTTTTGGCATTATCTACTTAAGGAAACCAGAATATTCTCGTCTTATCATATGACATTCTTTTTTTTTCCTTTTGCTTTCTTTCAATCAAAGAAACATTTCGCTCTAATATTCGGGAATGTCATTAAAGGAGAGATTCGTTTTCTCATGTCATTGATGTGTCATTTAGTCCGTCTTTGAAATAATTATTTCGATTTTATTCAGCTGATGGAGAAATTCTAGTACTACAAAACGAGTACTACAAAAAGTGTGCTAATAACAAATAAAAAGTGCTACCTACATATTATTCCTTTTTTTATACTGAACCTTGGGACCATTGCATTTAAAACCGTACAGATTTACTTCAATCTTATTGGGTTATTTTTAAATTGAGCTAATATTCTGTTTAGGATAATCGATGTAATTTTAAAAAAAAAAAATGGATCACCATTTAATCCTTATATGAGTACCTTAAACAGCTATATTTTGTAAATTTGCATTCAAGTAAAAACTGTATAGTTTTATGCAACTGCATAGTATAATTGAGATAATATTCCGTTTAGGATAATCAACGTAATTTTAAAAAAAAAATAGATCACCTTTTAATTTTTATATCAGTACCTAAAACAGCTATATTTTGTAAATTTGCATCCAAGTAAAATCTGTATAGTAACCAAATTGAGCTAATATTCCATTTAGGATAATCGATGTAATTTTTTAAAAAAATGGATCACCATTTAATCCTTATATGAGTACCTTAAACAGCTATATTTTGTAAATTTGCATTCAAGTAAAAACTGCATAGTGTTATGTAACTGCATAGTGTAATTGAGCTAATATTCCGTTTAGAATAATCGATTTTATTTTTAAAAGAATGGATCACCTTTTAATTTCTATATGAGTACCTTAAACAGATATATTTTGTAAATTTGCATTCAAGTAAAAAATGTCTAGTGCTATGAAACTAAGATGAAAAACAAGAAAATGCATCAAATAAGAATAGGCATATGCATCAATTTTACACCAGATTCAGGTAGTGGCAGATGCGAATGATATTTTGGTTTAACATGCTGGATTTCTTTTAAAAGTGTTTTGTCAAATAATCAAGTTAAGTAAGCATTAATTTTCTTTATATATATTACGATTTAACTTCGCACTGAAATTAGACTGCATCATATTTGAAACCATATTATGATTCAATGTAGTTTGAACTTCTTATATTACATACATTTCATATTCCATTGCATGCAGGGTTACATGCATCTTACTATCTCACTAACTAGAGAAATTTATTCAAAACTCATCTAGAACACTGACGGTAACTATTGTTGTGTAGGTAATCTATTTCAAGTAAGAGTGTGGTGTTAAACATCAGATAGGTTTGGTCGGTGAGCGAAGAATAAAATTTCCTCGTCTTTGGAATGCGCTTTGTATTGTTTTCACAGTAGCCGATAGCTCCAGACTCAGTATCGGAGAAGCTTCTCTGGTTAGCAAACAATATTGCACTAGCTCCATGTTCCACCAACTTTTTTGCTTTTGTTTTCATGTTGAAACATGAATAAATGAATGGAACGTGGTATAGATCACTGCACCTAACTAATTATGCCATCGTGTTTCACTTTTACATTTTTTTCCCTTGAGAGATTTTGTTTCCTTTCTTTTTTTAAGAACTATTATTAAATAAATGTATTTCAAAAATTTCAATAATTTACCTTTATTCCAGCTAATTTTTTTGGAATTTATAAATGTACTTTATTTCTCAATTTGTAACATGTTATATGAGTATGCACATACGGCAGATTTAGGTTAAAGGATATATTTTTATTTTTTATCTAATTAGAAGAAAATATTTATTCCTTAAAGTAATGCTGTAATTTTTTTTTTGAATTTCATAATAGCTCTATCCATGTAGGTAGTTGAAAATTGATACATAACTCTCATTTTATAATTCCTGCATAACGAGGTACAATCACTCTATACCACACAACAAAAGGCAATAAAGTATTTATAACATTTTAAAATTTAAAGAAGTTAATGTTAAAAGTTATGGAATAAATTCTAATTCTATTTCTTTTTTCAGTTGTTGTACAAAATTACGAAATACGTTTATTTGACGAGTTTGTATTGAGAGGTAATATGGCTATTCTTCGATGTCCAATTCCAAGCTCTGTAAGTGATTATGTTCGAGTAGTTTCATGGGAAAGAATTGATGGAATTATGATAACTTCGTCAACTCTGAATGGTATGTGCTTGCTTTTGGGTCATTTTTCTTATTTAATTCACAGCAACAACAAAACGCGTAATACTGCATGGTACTATTAGAACGTTTTTCCCTTACAGTTAAAGCATTAAATGTTTTAACTGTATTTTTTACTGGATTTGTATTCTCGAAAGCTGAAATACGTTAAGATACCAAAATTATTATCTTGAATTAATTATTTTACCATTTAGTTAATTTTACCGAGCATATTTCATTGTAGAAATTTTATTATATTCCTTTTTAGCTAAGTACGGCATGCTGGAAAATGGTGACTTATATCTTATTGATACCACAGATCATGCAAACACTTTCAGCTTTAGATGCCACACCGAGAACATTTTGACTCGAGAGAAAAAAATGAGTATGAATTACTCTAGAATAATTGTAACAGGTACGCTTCATCTGTTATTTTCTAAATGTTACAACTTTTTTACGATAGTTAAGAATTGTCTTTTTTTAAGTTCTTGTCATTTATTTTTTTTCCACCTGTTTTTAGACTTCACTTTTATTATTTTTTATGGATTCTGTTGGCTAAGTGATCATGTCAGCAGATTGATCTCAGCACACTGCTTTGATATAAGAGCATTTCACTGATGCTTCCGTGTAACAGGTACAAACCTGATTTAGTTTTTAAAAGTTTTGCTCTCAAAACAAAACTCAGGTTCATCACTCGTGACCGTAATTCAAAAAATGCATATTTTTCTTTAGATAATGTTTTTTTAGAAACATATGCTTTTTTAGAAACTTATGTTTTTTTAGAAACTTACGTTTTTTTAGAAACTTATGTTTCTTTAAATTTTTTTAGTTATTTCTCTTCAAAAGTCTTTGTAATTTTGTGTACTTTAATTTATTTTAAGACATTATTATACTGTCAGAAAAGTTACATTATAATATTGTTTTACTTAACACTAAAAAGACTTGTTAAAGTGTTAAAAACCATTAGAAATTTCTTATAAAAAGCTCTCTCTCCATAATATGCGAAACCTTATCAGATTGCTTGTAAAAGTAGAGTATGTTCATTTTCTGATAAATATAGTAGAATGGTAAAAAGGACAGAAATGATCATTCATCATCAAATGAAATGCTTACTGTTGGATATTGTCTTATCGGATCCGCAACAAAACTCAGTGGGTTAACAAAAGCAGCGATATCAAATATTGTTTTTTAAAGGTAACAACACAGACTTGGTTAACTGACGTTCGAACACAATCATCCAAGACTGTGATCAGCCTCATAAAACGAATTGCAGAGCTAAAAACGTACTCTACTTTGATTCATTTGAGAAAAAGCTTCAACTAACGTCCTTTCCAACTATTTTCGACATGAAACACCCTCTAAGTACTGCGAAAGAGGGGAATTCGTAGTCGGATACCTGAGAAGAAACTTCTCAGTTTTACTCGAAGTATCTGACTTCGTTTGCAGTGGTGACAGTAAGGAAGATATCGGACATCCGAGTATTAGAAATGGATGATGTGAATAAATGAAATACGTTACACCATGTTTTCAGAGGTGGAAAACGTCGAATATAGTGAGAATTTCATAAAGCTATGAATGCATCTCATCTTGTTGGCATTCTTCAAAGATCTGGTAAGAGTATCATCTGGAGTATGTTCTGAAAGATATTGAAGGGGTACCCAGGTGTTTTTCAATGAAAAAAAAAGCCAAGCAACACCTGGACATATTGTCATTGCATTCTGCTATTTTTATTTCAAAAGTGACGGATACCTTATAAACAATCTTACTAACATATATCTTACCAGAATCACTAAAATTCGGTTTAATTAACACTAATCTGACTCTCAACATTTCCCACTGGCCCGAAAAACCCAAATCTTTACTCACTAAAAAATATTGATTGCATTTGGAAAGGCATACCTTTCGAATATCCCATATTCCATTTATTTTAAAGAGTCTAAAAGTCTACATAAACAATGCATGGTACTTTCGGACATAAATGTAATCCACAATCTTTCAAAATTGATTCCTTGGTGAAAGCGGGCTATTTTCAGTGAAAATGGAAGTCCAATTATGTATATTAATCAAAGGTTTCTAACTAATTGGCCCTTGTATGTATCATATTTGGTTACTTTATGTTTTTCATGTATATCCAGGTAGTTATTTTGTACTGGATTCAATTCCATATATATATATATATNATATGTGTGTAATTTTCCTTTGTTTTATCTTCATTTTGAACTTATCTAATGAGTTCTGCTCACTTGCAGCTTATGCGCAATAAATGAAATTTATTGTTTTTCTTAATTTTCTTCGTGTTTTTTTGTATTTATTTATATTGCTATATATATATATATATATATATATTATCAATGCGTGTATAGTTTTGAAAATTCTGAAATTTTTTCAGATAAATTTTTTCAACTGTCATTTACAAATTTATGTTGGAAAAGAGATTATAATAAACAGTTATTTACAGAAATAATTATTTTTAATATACCATTTAATCATAATATCTAATTTTTAAAGAGATTGTTTGTATTAAAACATATATGTTTCAGATCCACATCATGCCCAACCGCCAAGAATAGTTCAAAGATCAAGCATCGTGACAGCAACAATAGGACAAAAAACAACTTTGTCCTGCATTGCCCAAGGACATCCTGTACCACGGTATCGGTGGCATAAACTAGTTGGAAATCAGCCTGTTTCCCTCCAAATGAGCTCCTCAGCGAGGCAAGACGGTGGTGTACTTGTTTTTCATAAGACGGTGTCCAGTGACAGTGGTCGATATGTGTGTCACGTCAGCAATTCAATGGGAGAAGATTCTGTGCAAATTGAGCTTATTATTGAAGGTATAACATATAAATGTTGATTTCAATCTTGTATGTTTTACCTTTTTTAGGTATTTAGTAATGAAGATGGAAATTTTTTAGCATCTTAATAATCTTATTCGCTTTATTATTAGCTCCATTTTTTAAAGAAATTGCTATCTTGAAAATTTGCGACAGTAGGAACGCTATAATGTATTTGCGTATGCTAGTATTAAGGTGAGACATAAGTTCATTTCATTCTAATTTATTTAATATAATTATGCATTTTTCTTCGGAACTTTACTTGATATTATTCAATTAGGTTTGTCTAAATAAAAATGTATAACGTTTTTTAAAATCAAATTGATTTAAAAACTGAATGGCGTAAAATTTGTAATGAAATGGATATAATGGATATAATATAATTGCTCAATGAATGAATAATAATATAATATAATTGCTTAAACTCAAAAATATGAAAAATCTTAGTATTTTAAAATTTGATCTCTTTGTTATCATTTGTTATAAATATGTTTTATCACCAAAAGTGAAATGTGTAAAAATATAAAGAAATTGTTCTGCAAGGGAACTCTTTTTTTTGCTACATAACAGCCAATGTTTTTTGAAGTGCGGATCTATTGAATTTATTCACATTCTGAATTTATAACACAGAGTCAACTTAAATTATACAGCGTTTGGAGATACAATGAATATTATGTTGCCATTAAAAGCAATTGGAAATATACTGAAATAGAATCTATTTATCACATAGAATAAATTACAAATGAAGTAGCAAACAACACTGTACTATTGAAATTTATGCAATACAGATTCCTCTTTTAAACTATATTGATTCGTGATTTTAAAAATACTGCAAATCAAATTATGGAGTGGAAATATATTCCTCCAAATAGTTGAACAAATGAATTTTTATCATTTATTATTGGTTGTCATGATTAATGCATGACTATACTTTAATAAAAAAATACTTATATTCTTATATCGATTCAATTTTATTGCGTATCACTAGATTACAAAAATATTTTTTAAATAATTCTGAGCGAAGTTTTTTAAACTGAAGATTGAGGCTTCTTTCTTAAATATAATTATAACTTTCTTTCTCTGTAAAAGCATAGCAATTGGATAAGCATTTTTACCTCGTCTTTTTTTTCTCCATTTTCTTAAAAGGGTATGTCACGCATTTTCAAATAAAGTGCATTGCCCATACCTTTAGAGTATAAAGTCTTTTTTAAAGTTCAAATGAAGATATTACGTGTCAAAAGATCTTAGAAAAAAAAGAAGTTATTTTGAAATTCTCTCTTTTCTCACTTTAGCCTTATGAAAACATTTTAGTTTAAAAAGCAATAGAAAATATTTTTGTACTTACGTAAGTTTCTCATTAAGGAAAAGGGAACAAAAACTTTTTTATTTAACTTTTTTTGCGCGAAGAAAAGCGAAACAGCACGTAAATTTAAAATCGTATCCTTCAAGGACTTCTTTTTCGGCGTTTCAACTTTTTTATTAAAAGAAATGTTCTTAAAACAGTTTATTTTAACAGTAACATTCGGGCAGTTTTGAATATTTTCCAAAAAATTGTGCTTTTAAAGAGAGTGCTCTATTTAATACATCTCTCAAATGATGTTTTTTGAGTCTTTCATCTATAGAATTTTCTATAAAAAGAGTTTTGGAATTTGAAGACTCGCATTCAAAAAAAAAATTTTAAAAGAAAACTGCAAACTTTTTACTCATTTTATTTGCGTTGAAGAACTTAAATGAGAAAAATATTTATCATGATTAAAAAAAAACAACTTTAATTTAGGTTTTTTTGGGTTGGAACTTTTTTCTTACTTGATAGTAATAAAAAAAATTAACATCTATGAAAAATTTTAGCAAAACATAATAAATTAAAATATTTTTATAAGATTAGTTTGGTTTTGTATCAGAGTAATTATTTAAAAAATAATGCGGAAAAATATAGTTTATATTAGGGAATTATTTTATGAATAATGTATTTTCATAAGAAACCTATTTGCATTAAAAGTGAAAAAAATATTTCTTAATTATATCGCAACCACATTTCAAAGCTTAAGAAAAAAATTTCAAAGGGTATGAATTCTTTTACTAAAAATTGTTATTGTACTTGTTATCATCAATACAGTATTGACTTTACAAAATGTTGTAAAACATAACTCCAGTTTGATGAATGTTACCATGATGATTAAAGTATTCCATGGTTCTAAAAGTAAATTTTAAAAAAAGAGTGAACTGTTGTTTTAGCAGCGTTGGGCATAAATTTGATTGAATACAATAAAAAAGGTACTGAAATAATACCTAAATAAATAATAGCAATAATTACATAATGGAATTACATCATAACTCCACATTTTTCTGTTTGAAATATACCGATCTTCTTTTCATGAAACTGAAGGATTTTAAACTTTTCTTGATTTCAAGTTGAATTTTTCAAAAGTTATTATCATGCAAAAATGGCATAATACATTTCCTACTATATCAAAATATGCACTGTAAAAAGTACCCGATTTTTTCGGAATTTATCCATACAATTAAAGATTTAAAGTCGGGTGGTTTTTTTTCTAATAAAATGGTTTCTCTGCGTTTTTTACCCTGAATGCTGGTTAATAAAAGCTCTCTGTTAAAATTCCAGATTTGCGTTGCGTAATAAGATTTGACTTTTCCTCAAACTACTTTGCGATTTTCTATACTTGCTTTTACTTTTTAGTAATTACTTTCTAGTTTTCTAAATCATGCATGTAAGACTGCGATACTATTTTTTTTCGCAGAAGCAATGTTTAAACAAAATTTTTACTATCGTAATTTTTTTCATAATAAAACACTAAAGCTGCAGTAGCGCAGAAGACACTGCACATGCCTTCCAATGAAATCACCCATTTTCGAAACCTAGCGATTCAAGTTGAATTTTGTAAAAGTTATTATCATGCAAAAAGGGCATAATACATTTCCAAATATAGAAACGTATACAATTTAAAATATAACAGCTTTTTTCGAAATTTCTCCATACATTTAACAATTTAAAGTCGGGATTTGTTTCTAGCAAAATAGTTGTTCTGTGTTTTTTACCCTAATCATTAGCGGATAAAATTTCAGATTTTCATTGCGTAATAAGACTAGACCTTCTCTCCTATCATTTTGTGGTTTTCAATATTTTCTCTTACTTTTTAGTAATTTTTTCATAGTTTCCTTCATCATGCATATATGACTGTGATACGACGTTTTTGACAGACACCGTGTTTAAACGAAATTTTTACTATCACATTGTTTTCATAATGGAGCACTAGAGCTGCGTAGAAGACAGTGCAAGCACCTTCCAATGAAGTCACCTAGGTTCAAAACCTAGCAATGACTGGTAGATACAAATTATGCTGACATCATAAAATATTCGATGCGTAACTTTCACTAAGAAATCTGTCATTTATATATATATATATATATGGGTAGAACTCTAAACCCTTTAACTTTTGATAATAAAAAAAATAATGAAAAATAATAGGCACACTATTTTTACACCGCCAGAATTGCTTGAAAATGTATAAAATATCAGAAAATAATCGTGAACATTGAAAACTTTGATGCCCTTTTAAGTATAAGCAAAAAATTAAAGTTTTTGCACTAATTTTTCTAGGTTTATATACACTTCATTAAAAATCATAAAAAGGACAAAAGTATCATTAACCATATAAACTTATTGAACCTATTTTTCTTTTATCGAGCAATTTTTTCTTTTTAATAATTCCATCCATATTTACCCTTTATTTTTCATCAAAAAATATTAGTATCATAAATGAATTGAAAAATTTTAATATTAAGTTAAATTGCTATAAAGTGTATAAAGAGGCTTATTTTATTTATTTTCAGTCAAAAAATATCTTCAATTAGTAAAACATAGGGAAAAAACTAAGTTCCGATACGTTAAATTCAGTTAATTAATCCTGAGGTTACGGTTTGACAGGGTTACGGTTTGGACACCCTAGAGAATAGATCGAAAACTTTACTCAGATGCAACGTAATGCGATGTACACAACACAGAAAATAAATTAGGCAATGACAAACGTGTGATCAAAATTTTGATTAATTTTAATATTTACTTTTTAGATCTGAGTCTCATTACGGTCTTCACATCGTAACTGTAACCTCAGTTTGTGATTATAAACCTAGAAAAATTAGTTCCAAAATTTTAATTTTTTGTTTATACTTATAAGGGCATCAAAATTTTCGATGTTCACGATTATTTTCTGATATTTGATACATTTTCAAGCAATTCTGGAGATGTAAAAATAGTGTGCCTGTTATTTTTTATTATTTTTTTTTTATTATCAAAAGTTAAAGGTTTCAAAGATCTGCCTATATGTATATAAATTATTTTGACCAGACGATTATTAACTACGATTTTACAATAAATGGATATACGAAAATTATTATCATAAATTTGTACTACTTGGTAGGACATATTCTAGTTAAATAAATTTTCAAGTCACAAAATAGGAAATAATTGAAAATATCTAACGCTTACGTGTTACTCTGATCGATTACAGAGCCCCTGAAAGTCTCTATAGTGCCAAAAGAAATACAAACAGATGTAGGGAGAACAGCCACATTCCACTGTAATGTTTCCGGAAGTCCAGCGGGCTCAGTGGTTTGGAAGAAAGACATGCGATCGTTGTCGCCATCCAATTCCCGAGTGATATTTTCCAATCAGTATGTGATACAGTTGAGGCAACTAAAGAGAACTGATTCTGGAATGTATCAGTGCTTTGTGTACAGAGACTCGTTTTCAGCTCAATCTTATTCACATCTTATTATTGGAGGTAAGAATTTTACTGAAAGTATTAGTAAAAACCAAACTTCTTTTTTTTTTAACTAAAGTCCAAACTAAGGAGCAAAAATAGCAGTATTATACTGCTATTTTTGTTGACAAATATTTTGATTTATTTATACTTTTTAAAATCATTTTTTATCATGCTCTATATTCTACACTGACGAATAGCATAGTGATTGGTTTACCAGGTTTCACAAAAAAGCTCGATATTATTATGAAAACAATATCTTCCTTAATAACCAAATTTATATGCTTATAAAATTTATTATAAACCAATATTTGTCTAGTTATTTTGAATATGGCATTTCTTAAGTACAGCTAATAAGCCATTCGATAAATGTGTCGCATTTTTATAGATTGCGATTGTCAGTCGTAACCTTTTACAAAAGAAATAACGCAAAATTCTACAAAAACTAATTCACCATTTTATTATTCTTTTCCATCCATCGTTCAAAAACCAAAACAAAAAAAAATGATCATATCTATAATATCAAGCTTTTAGCTCGCAACATCAGAAAATGCGTGTTATTACATCACGTGACCCTGACAGCGATTATCTTTTTAATTTACATAGTCGATAAATAAGACCGTTTCTAAGCAATTAATATGTATCAATGTAAGTTTTAGTCTTAAAATTAGAGTTACTGATGTTGTTTTACTATGCTGTTACTTAGTGTGGACTTTTAGAGAAAAAACACTTTCTTATATTTAACAATCATAATTATTTAATTTAACAACATTGAAGTTAATTTAGAACACAGGAGTTGCGTCTTAACGTAACACTAGCTGGATAGGAATCTAAATTGAAACTTTCAGAGTAGAAGAAGTATGTGAAGTCTCAATTCAATTAAGAATGCTTGCAAAGATAGTTCTTATGCATGGCCACAAACGGCATAATATTCTACACTTGAGCATTGTATTAGATGATATATCGTTCCTTACAGGGTGGTTACAAGTAAACATTTTACTACTTTGACAAACATAGTGATGTTTAAGTGTTCTAAGAAAACGATAGGTTCATAAGCACCATATTGGTCTTTAAGTGGAAGTTCGGAGAGAAAGGTGTGATCTCAGACATCTTCATCTCTTCCTGACAAGTCACAAAATTTTGTAGTCTTCCTACAATGAATGCCATAAGAACAAATTTGAAAAGAACAAACTCGATAAACGGAGCTAAGGTTGAGTGATTTGAGCCCACTTAATATATGCTTTGATTTGTGCAGACTTGTTTCCATCTCGTTGTTAAAATTTGAACTAATTTTTTTATTGTAGATTTCTCTTTAGTATGTAGCGCATATACTAAGTTTCATCAACATTCGTAAACCAAAACGACGTCTATGTTGATCTAAGCAGGATAACATTAATTATAACCACCCTGCGTCTACTTTTTAAGATAAAGTGAATGAAACCAAATTGATAGGAATAATCGCAAGTCATGATATAAAAGTACAATCTTTGACTTTTTTTTGACTATTTATTCATTTTATATTAGACTCTACTCTAGACAAGGGAAGCATCAAATTGAGGTCCTTTGTCATAATAGTCATTAGTATTTGAGTAATTTTTTTTCATCCGCATGCAATTAGTGTATTTATTTTTTAGATACTGGACATTTGCTTCCTTATGTAGGTGGAATTTTGATACTTATTATAAAAACTAAACATTTTATATAAAAATAAGTTCTGTAATTACGCTTCGAATTATTTTTTCTGTTGGTAACACTTCGTAAAGATAAAAAGAAGACATTTATTTAATAAACATTTAAATAAGCAATTAAAATCACCACTTTATATACTGTCATTTAAGATGCAAGTATTTCCAAGAATTATATTCTTATACACTGAAAAAATTCCGAGTTAAGTTACGGCAAAAATGTACCATACAGGCTGCTGGTAATTTTTACCATAAATCCATTTTTACCGTAAAATACCACATTTGATCATATTTACTGCGAAATCGTTGAATCTTTAATGAAATAGATATCACTGTAAAAATTAAGCTGTAAACTTTTCGTTAAAAATGGACTTTGAGGATGGTGCACCTATGATGCTAATATTTTTTGCTGTCTTAGAATCTACCTATAATTGCTTTACCGTACAGTCTAAAAAATATATTCGCAAATTGTAAGCTATTGTAAGAAAAATTATTCGAATACTTCTTTTTTAATATAACTGTACGAGGTTTGCTCCTTTTCTTAATATCCAAATAAAATTCCACGATATTTGTCATTGATTATTTTAATTAAAAAATTATTTTATACAATCATTATAACAAACAATCATATTTGTAAGCATCGTATACATTTTTGAATGTTCATTATAAGTAATTACACTTGAGAAAATAAATATTTTCTCCCTGAAAAAGATAATACATTTAAATACATAAAAAGTGAAAGCATGAATTCAAATAGTACATGTCAACATAAACAATTAATATTCATTTTATTAGATATATAGAAGTAGCACTTTAAATATTACGATGTGTTTTGATCAGTAAATGTTCTTATCTAACTTCTTTCATTTTCTTTTGGTTGTTTCAGACTTAGCTCCAAAGTTCAAGACAGTTTTTATAGAAAAGACAGTGAGACCTGGTAGTTTTGTATCTTTGACCTGCACCGCCACAGGAAATCCAGAACCACACATTAGATGGAAACTTGATGGCATCTGGCCTGTAATGACCCGTCCCGGAATTTTAGTCAGTTCTTATCTAAGTGCCGAAAGTGTTGTGACAAGTTACGTCAATTTCACTTCGATAGACATCATAGATAGCGGAGCTTACTCGTGCGAAGCGATCAATGATGCTGGCCGTGCTCAACATTCCAAGAGGCTAAATGTCTTCGGACCTCTATTTATCAGACCATTAGATAACCTCACTGCCTTGGCTGGAGCGAGCTTTGAGATGATCTGCCCATTTGGAGGTTATCCTTATGATACCATCAGTTGGAAGAAAGGTATGATATTGATCCGTACTGGAATATATATATTAATACGGAGCATTTACTTTTACAACGTCAGTTAAGTTAAAAGCGTTTGTTCATGTACTTCGTTGGATTTCTGATGCATCAATATGCAGTAAAAATAATTGTCATTTGGGTTTAAACATTTTAATAGTATTTTAAGTAAGTGTTGTTACCAATATATTTGAAATAAAAAATTAAACTTTTTCTTAGGGATGTTTTACAAATCCTGGAAAAGTCTTTATTTAGTGAACAATTTAAATAAAAGTATTTTTGAATTAAAAAGTAAAAATAGTATTAGAAAATGTAGTTAAGAAATCTTTTTTTTTCTATTGTGTTTTTTGAAATTATGGTTGAAGAGTTTCTTTAAAACATGATACATAATTAAAAGTATTGAAAAGCATATAGTAGCTTTGATTTATATTTAAAACTCAATTCTTAATTTCAGATTTCTAAAGATCTGATTAAGAAAAATATAAAAAATAATGTAATAAAAAATGATAATTTTAGTTTTTTTCTGGAAATCTCTTGGCCTTTCCTTATTAAAATTCTAAGCATTTAAAAAAAAGAGAAAGAATGAAAAATAATGTTAAATTGAGAATTTTGTAGCTTTCCTTTTTTATTTATATAAGTTATTAGAGAGTTGCATATCATAATAAAGATTTATAAATAGCAAAATTATGTGGAATCTTTCAAAAGTAGTTCATAAAATGTAAGAAATTGTATAGAATTTTAAGGAATATTGATTTATATGAAAAAATTATAAACTTGGTAACAGCATAAAATACTTGTAAATTTAAAAAAAATATCTATTGCTACTTAATTAATTTATTCTCATTGCTTGTACTTAATCAAAAAAAAGTTAAAAAGTTAAGAATTTAAGCTTCTTAAAAGCTTTCGCTTTATGTCAAATTATTTACTTAAGTAAATAAAATAAGCTGCCATTGTGGTTGTTAACGGTTAGTTGGATGGAAATGCAAAGAATTTCAGAGTTAATTAAGACCTTAATTTATTATTTGACGCGAAAACTATTGCACACGGAGAAAACAATTGTGGCATAATAATGATATGTGTGGTAAAAAAAAACTTGCAATTCTGGCAATTAAAACCAAAATATGTCATAGTTAACCTAATTGTTTGGTAATTTTGCCTTTCATATAGTAGCGATTAAACGGAAATTCAGGTTCTCAAAATTTTAGTTCCTATTACAGCACAATATGTAAGAATACAAAACTGAAAAGTGCGTAAAAGCTTTTATGCTATACTCCAAGGTTATGCCATGCTGAAGGTTATGCTCTTAGGTAATAAAATTAACAAATTGTACTGCTTTATCAAAATTTTGTCAGATATTATAAAACCATATTTTATCTTTAATATTCAAAAATCATTACCAATGGGCTTCGAAAAACTCCCAAACTTTTTCGTGATTGATAGAGCGAGAAACATAGTAAATTTTACTCTATTTTGGTAGTTTTCATAAATTTTTTTTTGTAAATAAATCTACGTTTTTACAAATAAAGAAAACATTTAAGCAACATTTTTGATTAAAAAGATTTAAATACTATTTATTTTCTCTGCAATTGATTGGTGCGAAATTTAGAATAATCAAAAGTCCTTTTTGTTTCGTATAATTAGTAAAAAAATCGTAAAGTTAAAGGAGAGCGTTACTTGAGGTAAATTCCGTAAAAAAAATCCTGTAAAAAATTTTAATTTTTACTCTTATTAAAGGTCATTTGAATTGTTCTTTTTTTAAATAATTGAAGATAACTAGCTAACAAAGTAGGCATTTATGCATTAACAGTACAGTTAATATTGAAAACAGTTTCTATTTTCTTCGTGAACTTCAACATTCTTCTGCTATGTTACTTTAGAATGAAACATAACAGGTTTCAAAAATTGCAAAACACAACTAGACATTTCAATATTCTTTAAAACATTTCTGATACCGCTTTTAGTTCTTCTTTAAAATACGCTGAAATTTTCAGAAAATGCCTTTCAATATTTTATCTTTCTTCAAAGTAAAACGAGATCTTAAAAGTTCTCTTTAAAAGAGCTATTAAACTTTTGAAGCTGTTTAAACTTTAAAGAACACTTCAAAATTGCACCATTATACATCCTTTTAGCAAATATCCTGAGGCTACATCATTATCAATCGATTTCTCTCTCAGAATCGCTCAAATTCTGATGATTTTTGCTTTGAACTTTTTTAACGAATCATAAAGTAAGGAAATGATGTGACTTAAATGTTCAAAAAGAAAAATATCAGTTTCGTGTTACAGATAATGTCAAATAGCAAGTTGGTTTAAGTCAAAAAAGTGCCGATTTGGAATGATTTATATTTGATTCATGGTCATTTTCTTAGAGCTAAGTGTCTTTAGCTGACGATGGGTGAATATATTCAGAATATTTTAAAGTAATTGCGTAATACTATACAGATCAGCCAAATTTATTATGAATAATACCACTATGAATTCAGCATAAGTGTAAATTTTCAAGAATCAGAAAAAGTGTTTAAACTTAAATTTTCCAAAAGATTTTTGCTGCACAAGGAAAGGAATTCAGGTAAAATTACCGTACTGTATATTAATAACATTTCTGGTGAAAGAAATAAAAATTCTGTTAAATAAAGCCAAAATATAATGTATTTAAACTTTTCATACAATAATGTCTTTCGTTCATGTAGTAGCACTTAAGCCGGATATTCATATAGTAGCCGGAAACTTTGATTTTCAATATTGTAATTCTTATTACCACATATTTAATACAAAATACGAAACTGAAAAGTAAATTTCAATCAATAAATGGTTTTTATGCCACTCTTTTAGGTATTAGGACAAAATTACCAAATTTTACTACAGTTACCAAAATTTATCACATATTATAAAACCATTTTTTATTGTTAACTTTACAAAATTTTTGCCAAAGCCCTTTGATAAAAAGTATTGAATTTTTTCGTTTTTTCAAAGAGCCAAGAAACCGATGTATTTTTACAATATGTGGTAGTTTATACTATACTTTTTTCTGACTATATTGTGGTGAAATAACAAACTATTTGTTTTAAAAATGCATACCTAAGTATACCTCTAGGGTGGAATGAACTACTCTACACGTCTAAATTATGAAATCTGTTATTCATATAAATTTACTAATAAATTTTATTTTACAAACTTTTTATAGTATTCATCAACTCAACTAATTCTTTTGCAAACGTAACTAACGAAAATGGTATGTTTTAAAAAAGCAAATCACCAAAATCAATGGAAGGGAAAAATCATAAATAAAAATGATTCGTGAAATTTTGGTTCCCCAAATTATATTTTTTTTCAAGGAAATGCTTAAATGTATCAACTGAAATCGATTGTGAGGATGTTTTAAAATACAATTAGATGGGCTACACGCTGTGAACCTTTGTTTATTTGAGTAAAATAAAATAAACTAACCATAATTATAAACCGCAAATAAGCCAGTTCTCCCAATTATGCATTAATAACAAATAAAAGTTACAAGAATATAACCATTCGAATTTTATTCCCCGCAAAACCATTAATTATGGACTCCAAAGATTAAAGTTTAAGACGTTGTCATTTTTTTCATCAATTATCTCTAATAAGAATAAATACTGTTAGATATAGTTAAGTATTTATTTATTTTCTAAATGTAAATAATAAAATTTGTATCCTTCTTTTTCTTAACAAATATTCTTTTTTTTTTCTGCTTTCCCAAGATAATAGTCTGACTTATAATAAAATGTTATATTTCTATAGGGATATTCTAAACATGAGAATAATCCAAAAACTCAGTGTTTACTGATTTTATATATAGGAAGTTTTTTGTATTTAAGTGATTATATATTTTTAAGATCTTAGTCAAAATCTGAATTAAAAAAAACATTTCAGCTAATCGCGATAAATGAGCAAATTTGAATAATTAAAGCAGCTTATTTCTATTTTTAGCTGAAAGAAGCTTATAATAACTTTTGTTTGGAGAAATTGTTATTAAGAACTCTTTGCAAGTATCTTTAATCATATATGTTATTTTTAACTATTTTAATATTTATAAATGTTTTTATAAATGTATTTATAAATGTTATTATGTTATTTTTAACTATTTTAATATTTATACTGTTTTATTATAATAATCTTTCGTAATTATGATAATCTTTCGACAGCGTTTTTAATCTCTAGAAGTAAATATTAGTTTTTACCACAGAATGAACTTCAAAAATTTAATTTTACCAGAAATCCAGAAATTCATATTTTGAGAACAGTGATTTGTAGAACAAACTGTAAAAATATTGAGAAAATTATTACAGGACAAGTACAAAATAAAATTATGAAAATACTATTTGTGGTAGATTAGGACTTATATTTTATTTTTCTTCTTCTTCATTGGTCTGACAGCCCTGGATGGGCCCTTGCCTTTCACAGAGTTGAACTCCAGGCTCTTCTACACCTGGCCAAAGACATCCAATTTGTGATCCAATATATTTTATATATAAGAAAAATATTTTCTGTATTTTCAGAAGATAATTCTATAATCTGTAGAATATAACGTAGTGTGAACTGTTTCTTTCTAAAAAGAGATAATTTTATCAAAAATTCCAAACAATCAAAATTGCTCCTCATTTAAAAGTGATTTCCACTTGTTTTGCCACATTATACGCTTTCCGATGAATTTTTGCCAACACCAATTTTCGTAAAACATTTCCTTGCTTGGACGTCAGTTCTACTGTTGACAAAATCTTTCACCTGCAAGGGTGTTTTTATCCTTTTGGGACTGCATTTATACCGTTGTTTAATCATTCATGCTTTATTTTAAATGAATTTTTGTAGTGTCCATGTAAGTAGGGATTTACCCAATAGCTTTCTTAATCAGTTTCAGCGTAGCACTACATCATCATGTCATCAAGTTATGTCACCTCTTGACAATTCTTTTCTGATTTCCGTGAATCTCTCACATGATTGATCACTAAACAGATGGAGACAGTTTAATGATACTGAATGCACCATTTGTCAGCCAAATCATTGTTAGTTTTTCCGTACTAGACAATTCTTATTACAACTGCATTATGAAACTGTCACCTCCCTTTCTTTACTTACAAGAAATACCTAACAATAATATAAATTATTCTTTAGTTGTAGTAATCCAATATAATTAAATACTAACTATTTTTAAAATGTGTTCAAGTCTGCTCAAGTGAATGTGGGTTCTTTAAGATAATTCTAAGTATAGTATTTACTAAAATGAAATATTTATTCAACCGACAAACAAAAATTGAGCCGGCTGAAATCTATAAATACTGAGTGCAATGACTTATCTCACTGTAACTCAGATCTTTTTCAATAAATATGGGAAAGAAAGTGAATAACTGAGGAATGCCTCCTTCTATGCTTTTGGAGATCGTTTAACTTTGCATTTGGAGCATGAAATATGCAAGCTAACGTTGCGGAGAGATACTCAGCGAAAGTGAATGCCGAGCAAAAATTCTTTGTTTTAGTAGTGTGACAAAACAATTCTGTATTTTACTGGGCTGCCATTAGATAAAAGACAAGAGCTTGCCAAGAAAAAAAAGAATTTAATTTTCGTTTTTCTCTCCTAGTATTCTACATTGTTGTCTGGGAATTCTTTCCTCCTTCTAATTTTAATACAATTTTATCTTTTACGTACCAAAAGAAATAATTTAATGGTAGCTAGATTTTTTTTTTGCTTGATAGTAATGATTTTCGACTTTTTCTTAAACACTCTATTTAATTCTTTGTTTTATTTATGTCAACAAGAATGGCCTAATCGCTGATAAGGCACTAGATAATATAATCATTTTTCAAGGATAATATTTAATAATATTATATTGTTTATACATAATATTATTAAGGGAGGCAATTTTTTTAAAGGAGAGAATCTGCACTGTCGGGTTGCAGATATAGGAAGATTTTACCTATTTGTGCTCGGAATTTTAAATGTATGAATAGTAAGTAATAATGGAAACTAGCTAACTGAAAATTAACTTATTTCTGCATATATACGAATTTCGGAGTTGATTTCCTCTACCAAGAAGAACGAAAATTTTATAGGATTATTTATTGGTAACATGATCGATCTATAAAAACTAATTTTGTTAGGTTGTCTTAAGTATTGATTTATCGAATCCCAGTGATAGCTGGTCGATACGAATTTCACATCCTGTTTGCACCGACGACAGTGCTAGCGCGAAATATCCTCAGTGGTAGTCGGATCATGGGTTAGAATCCCCTAGCCATCAGGTTAACCGTGAGAATTCTTCGTGGTTTTCTTATCCATGAAACGCAAATGCGGGTTAGTTCCATCAAAATGTCCTCCATGGCGGCAAATTTCTCCTAATACTTGATTCAGGAGTTCCCTTTTCTTCTTGCATTGTGTTCATAATTACAAGGCTACGGAGTTGAACATTAGTAGTCATAAACCCAAAAATACGGCCGATTGTTCAACGACGGTTAAAAAATAAAATAAAATATTAAACGATACTCAAGTTATTGCTCGAGAGGTACGTGAAGAAGCAGTGCAGCTCCTAATGGAGCATAGTGATAAGTTTTCTATCTGATCTCATGGCAGAGATGGAAAATTTTAATAATTCTACTGTGTACTGCCTGTGAAATGTCTCGAACTCATAATTATGATGAGTTGGGGGATTTAATGGCTGCCGAAGAGATGTTAGCTTATCACTAAAATTTATTACATAGAGAATTTTGACAATATTATGGACATTTCATTATAATAGTTAAAATTTAATATTTCCGGGAGAGAAACAATGGTTCAATTGATTGCTGATGGCTTTTTTTTTTTCAAATGAATATATGTCTAAAAAATATTGCTGAAAGCTATAAGAATTAATAAAAACATGTCAAAACAATTTACATCCCATGACAGTAAAAAGTTTATTTTAAAAATAAATATCAAAACATTTGAAATTATAATACTTACTATAAAACATAATTTATTTTGTCAAATGTAGTTTTCATTAACACATGACATCCTTAAACAATTATCATTAATGCATTTCGTAGAATTAAAAAGAAACAAATGGCCAAACGATTTCGAAACACTTCATCAATTTAATTCGAAGTAATAAATGTAAACGATGAACTCAGCAATCTAACTAGTAATTAATCTTTTTGCCATTGTAAGATGATTAAAATGTTAAGAACAGAGTGTTAACAGTGTGGCACGTAATGATTAAAAAACGCATCTTTTTTTACATACTATTTCATTTGGGTTCACACTATTTATATATTTCTATGTGATTAAAACTTTTAAATTTTCACAAAGTAAAAAATAATCTGTGAAACAAAATTTAAACTCAAAACTAATCTTGATGTTGAATAATTGTCCAAGATTAAATAATACCAAAATTCAGATAAAATTTCAAGTATTCGAAACAGTTCGTCAAATATAATTTTTTGATAGATTATTAATTACTAGGAGGCTCCGCCCCCTGCTCGCTAACGTTCGCCAACCCCCGAGAATTGCTACGCAATCCTATGTGGTTCACGTCGTGAACCATGGCTCGCTACTCTCGCTCGCCAATTAATACAATGTTCTAGCACAAAGACATAATATATTATCATCAAAGACATAGTATTTTATCATCAAAGACATAGTATTGTACTTATGTAGAAGAATTCTACCAATGTTCTTATCGGCTATTAAAAAAGTATATTAGGTATTTAGATTGTACATGGTGAAAAAATCAAAACATTAGCTAAATAAGAAACATATTAGCAAAATAAATTATCAAATATTGCTTCACTAATATTCTGCATTTTAAAGCGTGAAAATTCAATGCATAAATAAACGCGAAATATAAAAAATATTCAGTGCATTCAATACAAACACTTAAACGTTTTTTAGACGTTTAGGTAGCTCCCAGTAGAAAAATATCAATTTAACAGCGGCCTTTTAAAGCATTCTCACTTCAATTAATTAATTAATTCCTAATTGAGTTTAAATTAAATATTGTCATGTTTTTAGTGCATGAATCTGAATTGAACAACCTGATAATGCTCACTCTGGTTATTGTTATCTGGTCGCTCACTACGTGCTCTTGCGCACCGAAACCTAACAATTAAAAATGAAAACTGTTGCCAGCGCGAGAAAAGAAATATCATCGGTTTTATTGATACATACATGCATACGTACGTATTAGCGTTTTATATAATATAGATGTGAACTATATTGCAATATATATTTAAAATATTACTTAAGGAAATTAAAAAGAAAAAGTTTTGATTTTTCTTCAGGAGGTCGAGCTTTACCAATAAACCAGAGGCAACGGATCTATCCAAATGGCACGTTTCAAATTGTAGATGTGCATCCAAGTGAGGATAATGGACAATACAGCTGTGAAGTATCTTCCAACCAAGGAATAATGCCCCCTGCCTCCCGCAGTTTCCGAATTTCTGTACGATGTAAGAATCTTTCTTACCTTTATTTCCTTTTTTTTTGTTCTTATATATTTTTTTGTCCTATTTTATGCGCCATATACAGTATCACACACTACTACTATTGCAAGCTTAGTCGCTGTGGCATCAGTTGACCTGGGGGCCTTAGGCCATTGTGGTCCTTTATCCATTCATCGGGATATCCATCACCTGGATATTCATCATTATATTCATCATGATAGCCATCAAGCTATTCATCACTTGGAAATCTTAAGAACTTGAATTGATGTCCTTGTGGTCTTAGTATCCTAGGAACAAAAGTAGAAAATTAATAAGTGGGCCTATTACTCAAAAGGCATAGTCGAATATGGTTCGAATTGTACAAAAAAAAAATAAAAATAATAGTACAGTTAAATTATAACTTCCTAAACAAAGTTCCCAAAAAACAAATTTAATGATTTCTCAAATTTAATTCGAAAAATAAATGCCAATATAATTGTTATTTCCACTTTGTATTCAATAAGAATTGAGTCATCTATAAGACTGAACGGTTTTCCAGTTGTTGTTCGTCAATAAAATATATTATCAGTTCTACTGCAGATTGAATGTTGTGATTATTGTTAACGCTTTTTTTTATTTTTGCCATAAAACGTTTTACTATTTATGCACCATTAAGTTTTACGCGAATGGTCATTATCGATCACTAGTAAAAAAAGTGTATGATTGGCCTCTAGGAAGCGTCTTCTTTGAGAGTCCCATATTCAAAATTCTGTTAGACTCTGCAGCATCACAATTCAACGCTTTATCATAAAAACTTCGATTCAGTTTGCTAAAATGATGATTACAAGTTTAAAGGGTACGAGGAGCAAATTGTAACAATTGAACAACCCATGATCGGAAATGTCATTTTACGCCGGTATGAGAGATTCTCTCTGGCCCATTAGCAGTTCGCATGGACTCTAACATGCATTTTTATTAATCTGTAATATCTTTGTTTCGTATTTTCTAATACTTATTGGAAAAAAGTACCCATAAATATGTCCAGAAATTGCTCTTTTCATCAAAATTTATTGATTTGGCAGCCGAAATGACGTGCTCTACAAGCTAGTCAGAAAACCAATGAACAACAATAAAACCGCCAAAATTGGGCACAACTAAATTCGTATATAAAATTATCCTAATATAAAGAAATATAAGATTATCCTGATACTTTTTATTAAATCATAAAATAACTAAGTCAACTTGGAATAAATAAATAAAATTTAATGTGCACTGAGACTAACCTTGCCGTTTCTAAGTCACATGCAACGACGACAAACTAATTTAGAGAGAAATTAATCATCATTTTCCCAATAACTCACTTCATTCTCACGGTATAATTTTATTTTACAGCTGGTCCAAAAATAGCTGGTTTCTCTTTTAAAGAAAATTTACACGAAGGAATGAGAACAGTTGCTACTTGCATAGTATTAGGCGGAGATGGTCCATTAGCTGCAAAATGGCTAAAAGATGGTCGTCCAATTTCGGAACAAGAGCTTGACGTTAATATCCTTCAAGAAGATGATGGATCCATTTCCATATTGACCTTTAAGAACTTAACCCATCGCCATAATGGAAATTACTCGTGCGTTGTGTCCAATGATGTGGCTTCAGAATCAAGCAGTGCCACACTCACTGTCAAAGGTTGCTAAAACTATTGCTTATAAAATTGTGTATTTTAAGTTATATTATGAACATATAGTCTCTAAGCATTAATAACTACTTTACGAACCGCATAAAATAAGGAAACTCTGACAACGATATTTTTTGCAAACTTTACATTTGAAACTCGAAAAAGTTTAAAACATGCAAAGTCTTGTAAGATATATTTTTATTTCTGCCTACAATAAATATTTTTAATTGAAAATAACATTAAAACTATTAATTTTTTCAAGAAAATTTGACGTCAAAAGTCGGCAATCTTTTTCCATATGGCAGGATTTTCCTCAGCACTAGATTCATGAAACAAATTAAATATTTGTCAAAGCGAAATTGTGAATGCATATATAAGTCGCACTTAATGCAAGAGTTTAACAAAAACATTTTTTTTTCATTTTAGGAAATAATCTGGTTTAAATACACAAAGAGTAAGAAGAACTTTATCTGCTGCCCTTACCATCAAATCACAGTAAATTTGCATTACCAACATTAATAAAATTCTGATTATTTTCTGCCGATATTAATTCTTTATATTTGTATTAAGTACTATGCAAAAAGCTCTAGTACTCAGGATGAGAGTACTTTTTACTATAAAGTACATTTTAATAGTAAAACACTGTATCTGTAACAATAATATTTCCCTTAAAATTACTGAACTATTCGACAGTAATTGCGTACATATTTTGTTATTCTGCGTTTAACAGATGGACAGAAAGTATAAATTCTACGTTTATCTAACACACTTTCAGTTTCTCGCTTAATTTGATAAAACTAAACATTTTACTGCTAGACCACGATTACATCGAATCTTGAAAAGTAACAAGACCACAGCTCGCCGTGCTACCACCTTCGGATAACTCATTTTACTAGTTATGAAGGTACTGGAAGTGAGGTAATGCGATATCAACGAGGTCGTCTCGAATTTTCAAAACTGGCAAGAGTGAAAAGTCTATTAGACTATTGACTTGTCTAATTCTCAAGATGTTTCAGTTATCAAGGATTAATAAAAATTTATGTACTAATATTAAACTAATAATATTAAATATACAATAATAGACTACTAATAATAAAGAAATAAAGTAATTCCTAATAGCAATAAATATTAAAAAATAAGAAAAATATTAATATAAAATATAAATATAAAACATAAGTAAAAAAATATTAATTAATAAATAAATAATTAATATTAATAAATATTTCAGTGCCTCCAAAGTGGATTATTCAACCTACTGACATTTCAACAGTTGCCGGTCGACCATCTCAGATTGACTGCCAAGCGGATGGTGTACCTCAACCGCATGTGCGTTGGAAAATGGCGATAAGTAAGTTTTATTGCAGTAAGCTTAAATAATGGCTTTGAAATTTTTTCTGAAATTACGACCAAAATTTCAAACACGTAGTAATAGATTTTACTTCGTAATAAGAAAAATATATTTTTCTAAAAAGAGAAACCTACCTTACTTTTCAAAATTTAAAATTATGAAGCTCCGGTCAGTGGAACACTGCATTTCTCAATTTTTAAACTAGTGTAATTATTTTTAAACAATTAATCAATCCAAGCTTATAAAAAAAGCTTAACTAAATCGAACGAATAGTATATCGAAAAATCTCAGTCATTCTAAAAGCTGTGCCAATCATTTGTTTCTCGATATTGAATTTATCCCATTTCCCTGTATTGATCTCATTGAAAACTACAATTTGCTTAACTAAACCCAGTAGTTATAGCTTTTAATTAAATAAATATATTTAAAATTTAAGAAACATATTATTACATTATGTGATTATTGAAATAAAAATATATAAATATAATTAATTGTTTTTTTTCGTTAAAAGTAATTTTTTAACGTATTTCTCATATTTCCATGCTGACATTTTTACAAAATCTATTATACAAATGCTATAATAAATGTTTTTTTTTTGAATTTTTACTACAGTGAAAAATGCTATTTTAATCAAGTAAAGTGTTATATATGGTTAATAATAATATTTTTATAAAGTAAAACGGGAGATATATATAGCTGTATTTTCAATAAAATATAATACTAGTATAATAAAGTTTATATAATTTTTGTTTTGAAACTGTACAAATAGTTAAATAGTCAGATTGATAAGCCTTCTAATAAGTACTGATTAGTATTTTGTATTTTTCTAATTTTAGATCAACCACCGGAACAGTTCAGAACTATTGTAAGCAGCTCTCATATACACATTTTAGTTAATGGTTCATTGAATTTTAGAAGCGTTGAAGCATCAGATGCCGGGTATTATTTGTGTGAAGCAAACAATGGCGTGGGTTCACCACTCAGTGCTATTGTACGTCTAACAGTGCACAGTAAGTGGGATTTAACAAATTCACATATACATTGAAAATTCATTCAATTTAAATTTTTTGTTGTTGAAATGTTAAGAAAAAGGTGAATTGATGAAAAAAACATCTGCAACGTAATAATATCTTAAAAACAGAATTCATTCATAAATATGACATCCGATGTATGAGTATTTTCAAAGAGGGTTGAAAGCATTTCTCTGACAATTATTTTTTTCAAGTCATTCAGATTATATTGATGTTTTTTTAATAGTGAGTCATTTTTAAATTGTACAAACATAAACAACTCTTGCGTGTTAGCTAATCTCAAATAGTAAGAGTCAAACACATAATTTTATTTAAATGAAATATTTGTTAAATTAATTCAATTGTGAATCATTCTAACGCATTTTAAACGAACAAAAGCTAAATCGCTGTATTTTAATATAATTACCAATTTTTAACTATTAATTACATTTTTACAATTATTTAATGTACATTTATAGTTTATTTTTAACTTTAGTGAATAATTATGGTAAATGGAAAAAAATATCACTTTAAATAAGCCCATAAAGTCCCCCACGGTCCAGATCGATCGTTCGTTAATTTCATCATACGTTTTATATTAAGCAAATAATTAAATAATTTACGATGCTTTTTTTCTAGCTTTATTCTGATTATTTTATTTTTCAATGTTATTTTGTTATTCCTTTTTTTTCGTTTTCTTTTATCCTGGAGCTTTTTATTCATAGTTCTTAATTTGTAACATACTGAAGACTCCTTTTCTGTATATAAAGATTAATAAATATTGAAACAGTGTTAAGTATTTAATTAACTATATTGCTGTGCTATTTATGCGATTTCTATTGCCCATGAATATTCTATACTTACTCTAAAATTCTTTAATTAGGTGCCCCACATTTCCTTACTAAATTTTTAGTAATAAGTGCTAGGCGTGGAGACAAAACAGTGATTGAATGCTCACCAGAGGGTGACCAACCTATTTCATTTACCTGGAGAAAAAATGGCGCCTTGCTGGATCTTACAAAAGAAACACGGTCTGTATTAAAACTTTTTTTTAGATTTAACTACTCTTCATTGCTATAAAATTATAAATCGTGTTATTTAATCATAACATGTTCCTGATACCAAATAAGAGACCATTGACATGCGATTTACTAATTTATAAATTTCGCACCTATTCTTCTCTTGAGTGTTTTATCAGTTCAGTACCTTTAGTGGAGCAAAAAATAATTCATATACGAATTTCTGAAGAATAAAATTAGATATGTATTTATGCTTGAAAACACCAAAACACTAATTGTGAATATTTACAAAGATTTTTATTTTTGTTCTAAAAATATCTTGTACGAACTAATAATATTTAAATTTTAAGAATAAGATTATATTATTATTGCTTGATGATCTAGTGTCATCCAGGTTTGTTCTTTTACATTTGACTAAAATTTGTTGTAACCATTTTTTCCATGATTTTGGTGTTCATTAACATTAAAATTTACATTAAAAACAAAGCATAACACACTTACAAATCAAAAAGTTATTTTTGCAATTTAATTCAATGTAATAGCATTTAGTTTAAGATGATCACACACACTAATTTATAAAATTAAATTAAATTGTAGCACAGAGAGATTCACATAGCACAGAGAGATTATTTAGACAAGTTTAAATAGGTTAAATATAAACTAAGCAGATAAAAATTATTAGTTATAAAATAATTTAATACAGTGATGGGAATTCAAGAATTAAAATTTAATCATTCATAGTTAGAAATTTAAAAGCATTCATACATTTTATAACGGTGAACTTTAGTTTCAGTTATATAGCAGTGTGCAGGACAACAATAAATTCACGACATGTTGTCCTCAATTTTAAAAAAAATTGCTGACTACATCCCAAAGTATACAAAAATATTTGAAAACGGACATAATTCATGAACAGTGCGATTGTGCGTGAACTTGGTTTGCGCTTTCAGCATTATTGGTGGTTAGATTTACCTATTTTTTTCTTAAAGTTGGTTAAAGCATTCAATTCGATCAAAACTGATATTACATTATACCGCAGTTTTTCTTAGTGTGAATTCAAATATCTACACATTTTACTGCATCTTAAATGAATTAAAAAAAAGATTGTAGACTAGACTTTAAGAATAAAGAAAAGCAGTAAAATAGAGTTGCAATAAAAAGTTATATATGCAATGATTGTGCTAAGTTGTATTGTTTTTCTTTTTTTTCAACTAGCGGGCATTTTTCAAGATTTTCCTCTTAGTAAAATATCAAAAGATTTTTAAGATTTTTATTAAGTTTTTCATAAATACTATTCTGATGAAAAGAAACTATATTTGTTTCCTTCATTCTTTTTTAACTAGGTAAGCTGGAATATTTTGCAGTAGACAATAGAGTTCGTATTATAAACAATGCTTAAAGAATGAGTTTGTTACGAATCTAGAATCATTAGCAACGTATTCGTCATATGCGTTGATCACGCACAAGTGTAATCAATTCTGTTAGTGTTTCCACCAACAGTTTGATTATTTTTAAAATAATGCAAACTGTTGAACTGTTTTTTTGAAAACTAAACAAAAATAATTCGTGTCTAAGAAAAATTATTTATATATCAAAAATGATGAAATATTCAATTTTTGTCATACTATAAATTATATTAAATAGCAAGTTATCTTACTTTTAAAGAAATACAATGCTTTTAGTAAGACGATTCCCAAACATTTCTAAAAAAACTGCTAACATTTTTAGTCATTTTTATGCTTCCAATTGAATTAGTTATTACTATTAACCAACGTAAATGCAATGAGCTAATATAGAAAATATCGTTCAAAAATTTAACAAGAAACATATGTAAAACAATTAAATATGTTAATAATATTTAATTTTAAGAGATTTGCATTTTTCAATATAACTTATATAAATTTACGGGGAAATTTCTAGAAATAACTGAAATAAGTTATACGAAAGCACTTTATAAGTAAAATCTAATGAAAAGTAAAAACTAAAAAGGGTTTTATTGTATTTAGTTATATGGTAACTGTCTTTTAATACTAATCTTTCCAATAAAATCAATATTTTAAGATAATATTATTGATATATATCTGGTCATAATAATTATATAATCTTTATTTTATTTGATAGCAGATATTCTATTGACTAATGTGATTCATTCTTTTCTTATCAGTTATTCCCAGACATCGGAAACCATTGGAAAAGGAGAGAAATCGATCTTGACGATAGAAAAAGCGGAAAGGAGGGATTCTGCTTTAATAACGTGCACTGCCACAAATAACTTTGGGGAAGATTCCATTAATATTCAAGTCACAGTGCAAGGTTGGTATATAATATTTTTCCTTCAATACATGCCCCCCTCATAACATGGGAACTGAATAAATTTCGACAAGAATATTAACTACTTTTTACAATTCTTTTGGGTTGAACTAAAATGGCAGTGAGATATTTTCACTTTGATAAGAAAAAAAATCATATGAGTTTGTCTAACTTCAGATTGCGTTCATTAGTTATTCAATAACAGAATGTTAAGAGAGCTTGAAGCATTCATATTTTTTGAGGTTAAGTTTATGAATGCAGAGAAAAATTAGAATTTAATGGATGCGTGTTACCAAACCTTATCGTTTCTATTTCATGATGTGGTCTATTGAAGGAATTTAAGTCATATCAAGTCAATCAAGCAATTGTATAAAGTTATAACATTTTGAGACACTAGCCTAGTTATTAAATCATATCACATATCGCACAGCTCACAAAGAGGAGAGGCTTTGCTATAGTATGCCAGAAATAAACCAAAAATTAAGCAAGAAAAGTTTCTTTTTTTAGCATTTTTCTCTGACAAGACTTTCAGCAAATTCTTTTACTGGAGCCGTGATGGCTAAGGGCATAGAGAGCTTGCTTTTCAGTGAAGTGAACTAAGTTCGAACCCCAGTAATAACTAGTCGATTCGAATTCCACCTCCGGCTTGCACTGACCACAGTGTTGACGCAAAATATCCTCAGTGGTGGACATGGGTTAAAATCCTTTTGCAATCAGACTGACCTTGGCAGAATCTCATGTTTTTCCTCTCCATGTAATGTAAAGGCGGTTTAGTTTCATCGAAAAGGCCTCCGCGAAAGTAAGTTTCTCAAAATCTGTTGTCTTCTGGATCAGGTTTAAAATAATAAGTCGGATCGACTGTTCAACGACGGTTATAAGAAGAAAAAAAAATTACTGACTCCTTTGACAAGAGTTTGCGCTTTCACCAAGTGCGCTTCTAGTGCAGTATACGTAGCTGTCAGTCTCAGAAATTCTCTAACTTTCTTGGTAAATAAATAATTTTTTGAACTCAAAAAATTTTAAAGCCTTTATAATCTCCAATGTGACCTTCTCTTTTTGATGCCGAGATATAACAGCTGCGCGCTACTGTTTGATAATAATTTCCCAGCTTCTGAGCTCCGCTTGATTTGGAACAAAGAGTATAAAAGGCTGCCAGTCTTTGAAAAATGTTCCCAACGATCACAAATAATTAAGTTAGAAATCTATTAATCTGTCTATTGCATGTGGTCAAAAAATTACGATCTCAAATTTTTGTAGTAGACCTTACGGCACAAATAGATATTATTATTTCTTCGTTGAAAATACCAGTTTAAAACTATTAAAGTTTAGGTACTAATTATAGCCAAACAGATGAATTTATTTATTATGCACTGTGAAAATTCTGGATAAAGTTACTGTAAAATGTACTGACACCATGTGCATAATACTTACATAAAATCCATTTTTATCGTAAACTTTTATACCGTAACTTTCTCACTATTATTCATGTAATTGCAGTGATTCGTATATTAACTGCTGTATTACTGTAAAAATTACGGTATAATTAATACGGTATATAAAAACTAAATATTACTTTAAAAATTACGGTATAATCAGCACAGTATTTTTCCAAAGTTTGATTTGGAATTTTTTACAGTGTGAAGCTAACAAAATTATTCCTATTAAAATAATTGAAAGAAAAATCTTTCTGAAATATAAGTGGGATTCTTAAAAATATTTGTTGGAGCGTTGATGAAGAAAAATAAACATAAATGGTTTACTTTAGAAAGACAATAAAAAAAATAAAAAAATAATTGCAAGGCGATAAAAAAGTGCTTTTGCGAAAGTCTTTTTATTGAAAAATTATGAAGCATACTACGAATTGAATGTAAATTTTACATTTTACTATAGACATACCTGACGCTCCTCAGAATTTAGAGGTTTATGATGTTGCAAGTCGAAGTGTTCGACTGACGTGGAAGCGCCCCTTTGATGGAAATTTTCCAATTACAAGATACACTATCATGTGGAGGAGGATAGACGGTAATAATTTTTTATTCAAATGGTAATTAAAAAATTTTTTGTCGTTGATAATTGATTGTTGTTGATAGTTACAGTTTGTTTTGTCATCCACACATACTTTAAGGAATTGATTCATAGCTTGAGTAGATATTGTATTTGATATCATTGTATACCTACTTAAAAATTTATTATTTAAAAAATTGTTGGAAATAGATATAATTCGCTCCACAAAGGCAAGGAAAAACTATATGAAGAAAAAATGATTTAATGTAATGTTATCGTTTATATTTTATTCAGATGAATTTGTTGGGGGTCCACTGCATGTTCCTGGAAGTGAAACAACTCTTATTATTCGAGGATTAAAGCCAAATACTAGATATTTCTTTCGTGTAAAATGTGAAAATGCATTGGGAGAGAGCCAATTTGGTGCAGAAGTTGCTATTACGACAATGGAAGAACGTAGGTATAATGGCTTTGGTTCTTATTTCATATAAAAATGATAATGTCCTTAAATGACATAATTTAAAAATTTCTGTAGTGATTTTAAATTTCGGTTTCATTGGCATCTCCATTTTTTTTTAATTTCGAAATTCAATAAAACTTAAAAAAATAAAACGGGCTGAAACAAATATGATTTTGCACAAAAATGATTTCTTTATTTTGTAAGGTATTTATGTCTTCTTATTAATCAACTATTTTCAATGTTATTAAATAATCAGAAAAGGTAATCTTAGAAATCTGCAAACAATTTTAATTTAACAATCTTATTATTAAATAGCATCAAATATTAATTAAAACTCATTTATTTTGAAAAAGCAACTATAAAATAAAGTAATTACGATATTTTTATTTATTCTTTACATTTAACTTATCTTGTATATTACTGCTTCAATAGTAGTTTTTTTAATTTCAGCACCATCAGTCTCTCCGCAGTATGTTAAAGCTACAGCAATTACATCTAAATTAATCAATGTCACATGGCAGGTAAGTTTTTAAAATTAATAAAACTGCTACATATTATAATTTGATTTTAATTCGGTGATTAATTAAGAGAAATATTACTTTTAAACAATAGTATGATACTTCCAAAACAATAGTACGTTTATGAAATCTTATTTGCTTGTTAAATATGCTGGCTATATAATGCTATAACAATTGTAATGAAACTACTTTTTAAAAGTCACAAATGCAAATTTGATGCATGGCTCAAATTCGCTAAAAATCATATATCCATTTAAAATCTTATTTTCTGAAAATAAAAATGAAACGCAAGTTTGGAAAAGCACAATTTAATATTCCGATTGAATTTCATGAATTTCAAATCCCTGAAATTAATAAATGTGCTTAACAAACGCATTGCTCTAAATGTTCTCCTTTCAAATCTTAACTTAATTAACTCTTTCACTGGAACAATATTTCCTTATGCGTTGTAATTTATAGAACTCATCTGTATGCAAATTACTTTGATTATATTTTTTTTCTTTATTTAATGATCTGGAACTCTGAAACAACTCTTATCAGCTTCAGAAATTATTCCTCAGTTAGCACTTGCCGATCAATCAGCTGATGAAAAAATGCCTCTTTGTCGAAATTGATGGAGTTTAAGGAATGAATCTGAAAATTTAATGGAATCCCGTAATTAAAACCTTAACGGAAAAATTTTGGAACTATTTCTTTGTCCATTAATAATGTAAATGTGGATCTTGCTAAGAGCTTTTGGACTTTGATGGATCATTTTAATTATGCCAAGAAAGGGGTTGGGGATTATTTTGAAATCGGAAGTCTCTTTACTCCGAAGATGTTGCAATATTTGAGTTAGGGATTAGTCTTATATTTCATCCAGAATAAGTAGTTAACTCTTAAACTTAATCAAATTGACCCCATCTTGAAGAAATAAGTGTTGAAATGGTTAAGATTTTATTTAGTCTAGGCAATTTATAAAGGAAAAAAAAGATATTTAAAAAATTAATAAAATAGGAAAGTAATTTCAGCCGTTTAAATTTAAGGGGAGAAGTATATTTTTGGAATCAGAAAAAGTAAGTTATTGGTTATATTGAATATATATTTTTATTTTTAAATGTCTTTTTCATTAAGGTAAATTACAAAAATATTTTCATTTGCACATCAAATATATCAAGTTCCGAGGATAAATTTTAAACGCTCTGTTGCAAAAAAAATAAATAAATAAATAAATAAATAAAAAATGACATTTTTTATGCATTTTAAACTCGGAGCTGCAAAACTGACTAATATGGGCCGGGCCATGTCCCATCCCCTTCAGACACCGCTTCAGAAGGGATGGGGTTTGATCCTCGACTCCGCTAAGATCCATCGAGTGCATGCGATATACGCACTCGTAGAATCTGTTTCTTCAAAAGTGCTATGGTTGATTGCTGAACTGTAACCTAGGTGCATGGATCTGTAGAAAGTTTCACTCCTTCAGACCTATGTTTAAATAGAGGAAGTGGTATCACAAAAATTGTAATGGAATGTTTTTGGATCATCCTCAGGGATGTTTCTCAGACCATCACTGATAACCCATTATGCAGCTCCAGTGCGACGTAAATACGTACTTCAAAACTGATAAAATACTTCATGATATACTTTTTTTAACACTCCAATTGGGCGAGATTCGCCTAACCAGATGAAAATTATTAAAATCAATGAATAATGCCTAATATTCATAAATTTTCATGAACAGTGAGAAATGAGAGAATTATAAAGTGCGAGATTTTTGTTATTCTTTTATTTTTCATCTCAATTCGACCACCATCGAATAAATTCATTATTCAATTATATAAATTTAAATTACATAATTCGAATTGCAAGAAATTTGTTTTAATTACTTTACAAAAATGTTTGTTAAATGAAACATTTATTTATTGCATGAAAGAATAAATAATTAATAAAAATTGCTTTTTATCTGAATCATCTTCGAATAAATTAATTTCACATCTTTTAATTAATTATTTTTTATTTTTTTACAATTTTATTCATTATTAATGTAATAATTATAATCGTTATTGTATTTTTATTTTTCTTACATTTCCGTAGAAGTTTCCGAGAACTGAGAAAAAAGTGAAATTGGCATTTAGTATGTGAAAGTTCAAGGATTAGATAAAATTACTCAGCGTGGTATATTTATTTTAACTCACTGCACAATTATTCAATTGTTTAATTCATCGAATATAGGTCCTTTAATCTAAATAACACTTTACCTCTTGTAATTTTTCCAGCAACAACTTTCATTTCTAAAAAGATTAATTTCGAGTGCAAGACTTATACTGGATGAATTAAATATCTAATTAAAAGTACAGAGCTTTTAAATAAAGCTGAATAAAATGTTAAAAATACTCCCAAGTGTTAGCTATATAAATTATATTTATGTCATTATTATTTGAAAAATATAGATATTCTAAAAGAATCCTTTTTTTACAATACCTACTCTAACTGAAAAGATGAAAAAAATTTAAAAGGAAAAACTTATGAATTTCAATTAATATTTAATAATAGCAAAAATTTATGATTAGCAAAAATACTACTTTACGAAGTATCTTATTTAATTATTTTTCCTATTACTAGAAGTTTTGATGCATACGAGTTAAAGGACATATTTGCTATATGACTATAAAAACAAGAAGTCCCACCATTTAAAAAATTAAAAAAGTTGCCATAGGTGTACAGAACTATACATTTAAATTATAGTACGTAATATAGAAAAAAATGTTTCATCATACCTTTTGTTAAATAATAGTAGGAAATAAATAAATAGTAGGAATTTTTATATAAAAAGCATTCCTTTTTTGTGTGTCTTATGTCTATATATATATATATGGTTTATGATG